AAAAGTTGTAGTATTTATAGATTGTCTCTCTATTTTGTCAGGATTTTGTGGATATGGAGGAGGAAGGATATTCTAATGGGCCAGCAACTGATATATCAAGTGGGAGGCGAGAAAAAGTTGATGGCCCATTAGTGGCGGTGAGCAAACCAAGTGATACTGATACCACTGCCGCAGATAAATCTCAGGCTTCAATTCATGTTAAACCGTCATCTGAAATGAACAAAATCACTGACCTAGGAAAATCTGATGCTCCTGCGACTACTGAAAAGAGCCCCATCTTTTCCTTTTCGGCAGCATCTCCACCTAGTATTACAGCCAGTGTGGTTGATCCTGAATTAGCCTCGAGATCTGAAAAAATTGTTTCATCTGAAATACCAAAAGCAGCTACTGCTCCTTTATTTGGCTTTGGAGATAAGTCGCCAATACAGAAGGAATTGATTACCTCTGCCCCCACCTTTGCGTTTGGAAACAATGTTACCACCCCAACAAATAAACAAAATGTTGTTTCTGATGTGGCTTCTGAAGGCAATGTTGCACCAACTCAACCAGCTCCTGTTTCTACCACATTTAAATTTGGTGATAAAGCTACATTTCCTATTTCAGGAAATGCTGTTACAGAAAATGGAAATAAGAATTCAGGGTCTCCGTTTAAGTTTTCATCACCTCTAGTTGATGAAAAAGAAAGTGCTAAAGTAGGCAGTGCTTCAATTTTTAAAGCAGAGAGTTCTTTCAGGTCAGTTTGCTTGTTTCTGTTGTCACCTTGGACTCTAAGCATGTTTGTTTTGTTTATACCTTTATCTATGTTAGGTTATTTTTTTTATTATTAGCTTACGTGGAATTCATGATAAATAGGATTTTAAATGATCATTATTTCAATTCTGTTCTGAAGATGCGTCATTGGTTTTAATTATTTTTGGGAAACTAGAGCTCCTATTTTCATCTTCTTGTTTTTGTAAAATGCTTGCTATCTAATAAAGTACTTATGAGTGGAGCTGTAGCTAATAAGTCTGTTATTATAATCCCAATCATTTCGTTATGATCCTTTCTTGATTTCTGTCAAATTTGTTAACTTTTAGACTCTTCGGTGATTGCCTTGTAGATTCTTTCCGGAAATACTAAAGCTTATAGTTTTACATGATTGCACCTTTTTCCTGAACTGATTTGATAAAATCTCTGTTGCATTATCCTGTCAGTTTTGTGCACAACATTATATCAAGTATTATTTTTATAAGCTTTTGTGTATTCTATTGGTTTAGAAAAATGTTGCACATCAACTTCGATGTGTTTGTTGGTGTGGATAACAACCTGACGTGTCTGGAACAATGCGTAGCTCTTAAATTTAGATGAACATGATGGTCACATTTGAAATGGAAAGTTTTCTTGTTAGTTCTTCTGGACGGTTTTTAAGTGATATTCAACCTTTGGAGTACAGTTATTACTCCTGTATTTTGGTGAAAAATCCACGTTACTGAATACCCTGTATGATTTTTTGGATTATTGAACGAGTGAATCTTTTTTAATGAGGTTTAAGTCTCGAGGCTCATTTACTTTTCTTGCATATTTTTGACCCCCCATTTGTAGTCTTGGTGTGACATTTTACCCATATGGCATGATATATTCAGCTTTATGCTTTGCTTGGGCCCTGGACATTATGAAATATTGGCATTCTTTTGATTGAAACTTCCCTCATTTACCGTCCAAAGATGAAGTATTGGTATTCCGATCCGTTTAGAATTATATCTTTTTAGTTGTCTGTAGATACTTGTGGTGCTTTGTGGAATTTACTTGGTAACTGATATTTCAGACGGTTTTTATTGCAGCATCCCATCATTTGCAGTTTCAAAAGAATCTATGTCGGATAAAGTCGATAATAAGAGTTTGAGCACTGGCCTGACAGTTAGTACATCTGAAAATGTGTTTCTCTCATCTGTGTCAACCTCAACACCAACTCCGAGTGTATTTTCTTTTAGCTCGCCTAGCACTACTTCAAATCTTAATAATGGATCTCTTGCTCCTACCCCATCTATTTTTTCTTCCCCAGTTACCTCTTTCGCTAATAATATAACAAATCAGAATTCATCCATCAAACCCTCTCTCCCTGCTGCCACTAGCAGTAGTGAAACCATCACCTCTACTGGTCTTTCTACGTCTGCTCCTATGCCTTCTTTTCCAGCTGCACCGATTTTCAAATTTGGAAGCTCTAGTGTTCCTTCAACTTCCACTTCAACTATGTCGGCCCTGACTGGAGTTGGTTCTGTTGAAACCAAAACCACGCAGGTGACAACAACCTTTGGTAATTTAAGTGGCATTCCTCCTAGTGAGACCTTGGCTAAAGCGTCAAGTACTGGAAGTAGTGTTTTTCAATTTGGAGCTGCATCTACTACTTCGGATTCTAATAAACGACCAGAAAATTCAACTTTTCTTCCAGGAAATGTACCTGCATTTGGCGCTGCGGTTTCGTCTGCTACTAGTGGGGTTGCAGCTTCAACTCAGACGCCCGTTATGCAGTTCAGTTCATCATCTACTTCATTTGGATTGGCTGGAAACACAGGCTTGTCTTCTGGCAGTTCTCTGTTTGGTTCTTCAGCTCCAGCATCTAATTTGTTCAGTTCAGGTGCTGGTTTCGGGCTCGCATCCTCAAGTTCTGCTGCTAATAATTCTAATAGCTCTGGTTCTGGTATGAGTTCTAGTTTCTTCAATTGGCAGCCATCCTCCGCTCCATCATTCTCTACAGGGTTCAACTCGACTCCAACGGGAGGATTCTCCTTCGGGCTCACATCATCTTCTGCTGCGTCTAACAGTGCACCTGCGCTCTTTGGATCATCGGCCGGTGCATCAACAGCGGGTATTTTCTCATTTACTTCAGCTGCAACCGCTGCATCATCACAGCCTGCTATTGGTAATTCTAATCATGCCTTTACGTTTGGTTCAACCCCCCCTGCTAATAATGATCAAGCAAGTATGGAGGATAGCATGGCTGAGGATACCGTTCAGGCAGTCGCGCCGACAACGCCGAGTTTCGGTCAACAGCCCCTCACACCACCTCCATCATCAGGGTTTGTGTTTGGTTCAACAACTACTCCATTAGCAGCAAATCCTTTCCAGTTTGGGGGCCAGCAAAATGTACCTACCCCACAAAATCCTTCTCGATTTCAGGCTTCTGGTAGCTTAGACTTCAATGCCAGTGCTGGAGGGAGCTTCTCGTTGGGTGCTGGCGGTGGCGATAAAGCTAACCGGAAATACGTGAAAGTTAAAAGCAAATCGCGAAAGAAGTAGGAGCAACCGAGGCAAAAGGTACTCGGTTTTTTCGTGTTTCTATATCCTGGTTATTTTGATCTATTACCATCTCTGTCCCAACGATGACTAGAAAGAAGAGAGAGCGGAGATATCATTTGTCACCTGGATTGTTCGATTTCAACATATGGGGTAAACGAGGAAGCGTCGAGCCGAGAATTGGTGGTTCTGTTTCCTCATTGGGTTGGCAAAATTTTTCGTGGTATGGCTGGGAAGCATATAAATTCACAAATTTTGTACTAGCTTAGAACAAATTTGGAAGAAAACTTTTGTGTACTAGTATAGTAGTCAGTCTGTCAATGTTTCAGGTAAGATTTGTGTGGTATGGACTCAGTTTTCCTGTAATCTGTTATTTGTAACATAAGAAAGGAAATATATGCTGTTGTCCAAGGAAAGCATCATTTGTTGCTCTCCTCATTCTTCTTTTCCTTCAACTTCCTATTAATTTCCTCAAATTGTTTTTTAAGCTATCATTTTTCACAGGTTTTTCGTTTTAGTCTTAGTTGGATTGAAATATTTGAGATCATAATACTAATGTTTTAATATTGTTTCGATTAGGACATTGAAGATGAGTGCAAGTGTCTTTGGGTATAGAGGAACAAAGCTCTGACTCCTAATTGTATAAATATGACATGCATTGAAGATAATTGAAACGATGTTTGTTGAACGTTTTGTTAAAGTAAAGTATGTTTTTAGTGTCCTGCGATATTGAAAAAAAAATGATTGAGTAGCGCTAAGTGAATTCTCGAATGCTTGTAGAATATTGATTAAGATTGAACAAATTTTTGAAAATCCATAAATTTAAAAAAAAGTCTAGTTTTACTTTGGAGTTCCTATCACCAATTTTATACTAAATATATATGTTTTGTAAATTATTATTATTATTTTTCTAAAATTTATGAATTCATTAAATACATATAATAATATCTTTTTTAACTCATTTTCGAACGGCACTTTATTAGAAATAAATACGGTAACAATTATCAAAATAAAATTTGGTATACCTTGAGAACTTTGGGGTTAAAATAGACTTTTTTTTTTAAATATTTTATTTTTCTTTTTCATAGGCGGTAAAATGAAAGCATTGACCAAGTCAAACTCTGGAACCGCGCGGTTCGGACACGCTAAACTCACACTATAAAATTACGCCCGAAGAGAAGACCCGCGATCACGATCAACACCGTCGGAAAATGCTGAAGAAAGTGTTCGCCGGCGCTCCTTACCCGTCGCCGACCTCCGTCGTCAAATCTTTTCTCCTCTGCTTCCTCAAAGAACAATCGCCATGTATCTCGATATCTCCAGAATGACGCCTCCTCTGGTATGCTTTCGATTTCTCCCTCTGCGTCGTTCTCTCTTTTCAATCTCCAAACCCTAGATTACGGAGTTGTTTTTACCTTGTTGTTTGCGATGTTTGCAGAATGCGAGCCTCCTTCACCCTTTTCTGTCATTAAAGGCGCACGCACTCGACGGCAATGGTCAGTTTTGCGATTGACCAATGTCGTCCTTTAGGTGCGGAGACGACGACGGAGACGGAGACGATGATATAATCTTGTTGTTTCTTCACATCGCCATGTCGAATCCGGAGCAAAGGGATAAACATACATTTTGTATCGTTTCCTGACGCATTAGGTACTCATTTCGTCTCGATGAGTTAGGGTTTAGTTTACGATCCTCGGGGGTTTAGTTTACGATGATTGTTTGTTCTGTTACTCGGCTAGTTGTTTTTTGTTTTTACCTTTTGTTTTATGCTGCTGAAACAGAAAGTGAGCCTCCCCTCCGTCACCGTTTTTCTATCATCAACAAAGTCAAATCCTCGGGTTTCTCATCGTTCCGTCGCACTATTTGGTAACATTCCTATTTTGTTTTTTAATTTTCGAGAAAAATATGCATGATTTTTGGATATTATTCTCTCTCACACATTCCCATATTCTGGTGAAAAGTTAAAAGAATTTGATCTCTTATTTCTTATATCCTCTGTTTTTGGATGGGTCATCAAATAATACAATAATATCTTCAAATTCTGCACACCTTCTAAGCAGGTGGTGAAGAGTAGCTTCATCCATTGGTGCTGCTTGTTCGATGGTAATCAGCACCATAACTGGTTGTTCAGATCCATATTTTCCTTCTAAATTTGCTCCTCAAAATTTCTTTCAAGTCATTGACTCATTGGTAAGACCCAAGTTTATTAGATTAATTACACATCTAAATCCAGGAAAATGAATGTGAAAAACCCAATTTACATAATCAAAGAATTAACAACAAATCAATGGTTTTAGAAGAGGAAGTTCCAAGTTTCAGTAAGAGTAGGGATAGAGGATCAGTCCATTTTTCATTACATTCTTGACATTTTCTCTGTTCATCATTCTCAAGAATAACTTTGTGAACTCCCATTGCAGTTGAAACAAAGCATGAATTGGAATGGGAAAAACTTCTATGGTTCGAAGTCGAAAGTCAAATCCTCTCGTGGTTCCTTTCCTTGTCGTTCCATCGGGCTCTGAGTAAGTTCAATTTCTTCCATCTGGACAGAAACAAAACAATTTTATTTAACTATTGTGTATTCTTTCGCTGTACGGGATAAGGATACTATTTTGAAGGAATTTAGGGCTGTTTTTTGCTTAATGCACTGGATTAAAGAATTGTTCAGTGTGTTTGGGAGTGATTGTTGCTGCCAAAATCACTTTTGACATTATCCAAATCTCTTTCCATCGTGTTTGACAAATTAAAAAATTAATTTTATTTGGTAAATTAATATTTTGATTTTAGATAAGTTTAAAATGACTTTAAATTAATTTTTAAGGTATCAGTTTGAATGTTTGATGATGTTTTTGAAAATTCAATTATACTTGAATTTTTTTTTCCTTCAAAATCACTCACTCATTCTACCATCACTCCCAAAGACACATTTAGTCCCAGCTCTAATTTAGGGTTCTATCTTCATAATTTGTTGGGTCGGATGAGTCTAGTCCATTATTTTACATAGTTTTATTGGCCCGTGTGATAATTTTTTTAGTAATTTTAAACTTTTCTAAAATCAACTTTTTTATTTGTCAAACATGATCAATGTAAAAGGAAGTGATTTTGGCCCCTTCCAAACACACCCTGTTTATTCACTTTAATATTCTGTAAATGGTCATAGTAAAAGTACAAAATTTCAATTCTTTTCGTGAAACAAATGAATGTCTTGTAGAAACTGTGCAGCAATCAATCCATACCAAACTTGTTTTGAATCTTTCTTATTTGATTCTACCTTTTCTTATTTAAAATTAAAGTTAAAAGAAGAGAGGGATGGTAAATGCTGTGATTCAATATGTTGATTGAATTTTAATTGATTTGATTCTACCTTTTCTTATTTAAAATTAAACTTAAATTATAAGTTTAATCTTTCAACTTTTTAATGTTGTTGGTTCGAGAGTGATTTGATGTTTCTGCATGGGTGCCCTTGCCTTACCCTCTTTTAATTCAGATTTGAATTGAATTTATACAACTTCCAAGTATGGAGTAAGTGGGTAAATAGTGTTTTGCTTTTGGTAGATTAGCATTTCATTTAATTTCATATTTTTACCTTTTTTATTTCAATATCTTCCATTTCTTATGCTATCTATTTCTTTTATATTTATATTTTCGCTTCTAGAATTAATAATACCAAAGACAGTACAGATAGAGAGAGAGAGAGAAAATATTAAAATTGTTTGATTTATTTACAATATACTTGTTAAATTGGTATTGATTTGTACCAATGGACAGGGCAATTGGAACGGTAGAAGTAGATGAAGTTCTGCTTTTGGTAAGTAACATTTTATGATTTTGATATAATAGTTGTATTTTTTATGACTTTGGTTCTAATTTGATTATTGATTAATGTTCCTTATTATTAACATTATTTAGAATCATTTTTTTAGTAGAAATATCTGATTTGTTTGGTAATCCAACAAATTGGAATGCAACAAAGTTCAGAAGAAGGTCGTTTTTGCAGGTTCATTTTTTTCTCTTCCACCTTTTCGTTGAACTGTTAATTCATGAATATGTTTGATAGTATGAATTGTGCTTTCAATTTCAAATCTATACATCTTCATCTTTTATACATAAATACTCAATTAAGCAGCTAAGTTCTTGGTAGGTTTTTATTTTATTTTAAGATTCATTTTAATTTTATTAAATAAAATTATATATACATTGTTGACACCATTCTGTGCTTTTCTTTTGGAATAATATTTAATTTTCCAGGTATGCAAAGGAACTGAAAATATTGGATACAAGCAGGTACAAATTTTGGAAATAAGCTCCTATAATTAACCCATAAATACATTTTTCCTAAGTTTACTAGTTGCAATTTTTTTAATGTTTAAATGCTATTTTTTTTTAATTTCTGTCATTTGTTCAAACGACTCAATTATGACTTGGAAGTTTTAAATTAAATGAAATCAGTACTTCAATTTTATGTTTTTAAAAACAATAAATGCTAGGAAAAGAATGAAATTATGATTGGTATATGTAATTGCCAGGCATAGTATTATTCAGAATTGTTTGTTTGTTTTTTTTTTTGTAATATAAATATTTGGTTTGCTAGGTAAGCAATGAAATGTAAGCATGTGGCAAATTCTGGAAAAAAAAAAAGGAGCAAAAAGCGGAAAAAAAAAGGACTGATCTATGCAGGTTCGAACTCCATTCCCTTTTCTCTTGTTTTTTTAACTTGACCCATTAAGCTCAAATAATAATAATAATAATAATATGCCTGACAAAGTAAATTTATTTTTACCATTAACATAAACTAAATTAAAATGAAAAAAATGCTATTTGTTTTACCACCATTAACCCATCAAAATGTTGCTGTTATCATCACAATTTGTTCACTAATGTGCTTGAAAAATTAAATTAATATTTTCCTAAAAATGGTAGTAACATTGTAATTTCATAAAAAATGAGAGAATTAGTTTGATATGTGGCACTGTTTTGAGATTTATTTAAAAACAAAATAGTGTTTAAGTTGAACCTTTTTGGACTAGATATCATCTTTTAAAGAAACTATTTTCGATAAAGCCACATTAATTTCTATGTTGTCATATAACTTTTATTTTATAAATAAAAAATTGGTTTGAGATCAGTTTAACCCAAAATATATATATATTAATATAACACGTAGGGGTGAGGATTGAACTCACGACATCAGTTCCTCTTAGTTGAAGATATATGTCAATTATCACTAACTCGTTTTTGTCACGAAACCTAAATAGAGTTTTGCATTGATTTGTATCATCTAGGATAAAAGAAACTGATTATACTAAAAACAAATTTCTAAGTACAATTTAAAGTTTCACATCAAAGAAGTAAAAAAAGAAAACAATGGTTAAATGTTATTTTGGTATGTACTAAAAACAACTAATTTAGTCTATTTTTGGTTTAGGTTCATTTTAATCTATGTACTTTTACAATATTAATATTGGTACATATATTTTTAATTTTTAATTTTTTTTAGTTATTGTATTTTTAAAACGTTTATTTTAGTTTTGTACTTTTAAAAAGTATCCAATTTAGTTTCTATTTGCAAAAATTTTAACACAAATTTCATAGTAGAAATCCTTTAATACAATTTTATATCTAGATCTCAAGATCAAATGAAATGAGATAGAATTGAAAATGAAAGATTAAAATGATCACTTTTTAAAGTATAAAAATAAAAATGAACATTTTAAAAAGATATAGATGAAATGAACAAAATGCAAAATATTATTTTAAAGTACAATTTAAATATTCACATTAATGAAAGAAATAATAGTTAAATATAGTGGTCTCTCTTGGCTTTTGGTTCATTCTAATTTATATATTTTCAAAACGCTTTCAATTTTTGTAAATGTAAATTATAGTCTTTGTAATTTCACAATATTCATTTTAGTTCTTCTTTTTAAAAGTAACCAAATTTAGTTTCTAGTTACTAAAATTTTAACACAAATTTTATAGAAAATGAAGATTATTTAATGTAAATTTATGGCTAAATTTTAAAACAATAGTGACTAAAATATCACGATAAAAAAATGATAAAAATGAAAATTAAGTGACAAAAGTAATCCTTTTTTAAACCACAAGAATCAAAATATTCCTTTTGCACTAAAAGGAACAAAAGTTGAAAATAACTAAATCAAAAAATGAATTTTTTTTAGTAAGTCAAAATGAACGTTTTGAACCTAAACAAAGACGAATTAGGTAACATTTAATTTAAACAGAACTTTTGTATCCATATAAAAAAAAGTACAACAATTGGAAGAAAACTTAACCATCTTAAATTTAAAGAAACAGAATAATTTTTCCATACAGATCACGACACGAAAATTCGCCTCCAAACTTTAAAGAACCACAATCTTTATTCCCTTTAGAAAAGATAAATAAATGAAAAAGATAGAAAAGAATATTTTAAAAAAGGTAAATCAAAGCATATTTGGCCTCTTGCCAAACTTGGTGGTTTATGTAACTTGTCGTAGAAATTTTGATGAAGCTTTTAACCCATCATTTTGATATATTCCATTTTAAGCACTATCACAAAGCCAGAAT